GGGCGCTCGGGTGACTGCCGCCGCGCCGCGCCTTCGCCCCGCGCGGCCTCCCGTCGCTTTGCACAGGGCTGGATGGTGGCACCGGGCAGGGTGGCTCCAGGATGTTAGGGACTGTGAAGATGGAAGGGCATGAGAGCAGCGACTGGAACAGCTACTACGCGGACACTCAGGAGGTGAGGCGCGTGCAGGCGCGGTGAGCTCTTCCCGGAGCGTGCGCAGGGGGACCAGGCAGAGGCGGCCCCCTGCAGGGTGGGCGGCCGGAGGCCCCGGGAGCCGCCTCGGAGCCTCGATGGGGCCCCGGGTGTCCTGCTACCTGGCCTTCCCGCGGAGGAGAGGGCTTTAGGAAACTCTGAGCTTTGGCTCCGGGAAGCACGAACCTCATCCCGGCCGAGAGCGGGAGCCCGATTCCGGCCTGGGGTGCTGCGGGTTGGCGGGCGGACACCATCATGAGTTGGAGGCAACTCTGAAAAGGCCAGAGCGCGCGTGCAGCGCGGCCCCTTTGTCCCACCTTTCAAGTCGCAGATGCCTCTTATTGAAAGTGCTCTGCCACTCAGTTGGGCTTCTTAATAATGAAATTATTCCGAAATTGTATCAACTTGTTCCTCTTCAAAAACCCTCTTTGGGAGAGAAGCATGCCCCTTCTCCTGTGGAACCACTGGGTGGCGCTAGAGCGAGCTCGAGCTCCCTCCGGCGCTCGCTGCCCAGAACCTGTTTCTCCTCATTGTCCTTATGGTGCCACGTTCATGGGGCTTATTTTACAATGGTCACAGAATGATTGCGAGCAAAACCAGGTACTGGCAGACCTGCTACCTATGAAAAGTATTTTTCTCTAGAAACAGCTGGCGACTGCCTAAAAAAGTTTAGTTATTATTATTGAATATCTTGGGGAAATCCTCAATAGCTTGGGGACAGAGAGGCGAATAAACCCCAAAGTAAAAATAATAATAATAATAAAATAAAAAATTGTGAGATATAGCCGGGAAAACAGAGAATCTGAAAATATTTTCACAATTAGTTTATTTGACTTTAAATATTTACAAACGTACCTGTTTATTTGCATACCATAGCGTACAGTGTGTTCTCATTTAAATCTATTTGTTCACCTTTTTTATTTTCAAATGAAATCATACTTGCTGATAAAAAATAGAGACACAATTATTCTTTATTAAATCACTAAAGTACTTTTTCTATTTCTAGAATAAGTTGCCTATATATTTCTTCTATATCCCAAACTCCTATGGAAATAGCTTTCTTAAGCTGATGATTTTTAAAGAGAGCTTAGAACTCTCCCAGCGTTTTCTTTCTCATTCAGTCATTTCCACTAACCAATTTAAGTCCCCCAGAGTCAGAACTTTCCTACCTGGTAAAGCTGAGAATTAGAAAGGAGAATGGCATTGCAAGAAAACAAATAGATTTTTATTTGGAATCTTAAATTATTCTGAACTCCTCTAGTTTGAAAGGCTAGGCTTTTAAATGATCCGCGACAATCTAGCAATAACCAGGAAAAAAAAATATTGTTTAGACAAGTTGTGTCACTAAATCTTTCAAGCATTAGGGCACTGGAAAGAAATAATGATCAAATTAATGCAGGTTTTCTTATGGCTTGCAGAGGTGTACAGTGAAGTCATGTTGAAGTTGAACGAGCACAATGGATACCTATTTCACATTGCTTTGATAGTATTACATCTTTCTCCATCTCCAGGTTTATTTTTTATGTTATTTTCCAGAAACCTCCTTCAACTTCTGAGTTTGTTCCGTTTTAACATTGCAGTTGCTACAATTAGGTGGAAAACTACTTATAAATGTAATAAGCAACAAAAAGTCACCATTTTTTAAAGTCATCATTTTGGTGAAACTCCTAAGACGATAAATTTAATCGAGAAAGTAATGATATAGGGGTCATATAGCTGTGGCTGGTTTGCTGTATCCACAAGAGTGCAGTTAGCAGTCACTCGGTGCAGCCTGGGCCTCTGAGAGGGTGGCGCGGTGGGCGCAGAACCGCTCTACTTTCTACCCCAAGGCGCGGCGCGCTGCACCTAGATTACACCGCACCCTTAAGGTGGAGTAAATAAACAGTAGGTCTGGGATTAATTCTGTTTTTGGAGTTCTGGAGACAATTTGTCCCTAAGGGCGCCTGGCAGGGTGCCTGTTCTAGGGTCGAAATTGGGACCCTGGGATGGAAGTGAGGGGCCCTGAGAGCCGCCTTAGCGCTGTGTAAGGCGATTACACATCTTTCTGGGGACATATTTTCTGCCTGGCCTTGGCTTTCATGCCTGCCGCGCTAGGATCTCCCCCTGCGGTGCAAAACCTCTCTCTGCTTGGTCTGCGGAGGGCGCCTGACGGTTTGCACTCGGTTGGGGCCCCATACTTTACAGAAGCGCTGTCCTCGAGCCCCACTTTGTCTCTAACTAACTCCGCCTTTGGGCTTCTCCCCCTCGCTATCTCCACTGCAGGCCTACTCCTCGGTCCCCGTCAGCAATATGAACTCGGGCCTGAGCTCCATGAATTCCATGAACACCTACATGACTATGAACACCATGACCACGAGCGGCAACATGACCCCAGCCTCGTTCAACATGTCCTACGCCAACCCGGGCCTGGGCGCTGGTCTGAGCCCCGGCGCGGTGGCCGGCATGCCCGGGGGCTCTGCGGGGCCCATGAACAGCATGACGGCTGCGGGCGTGACAGCCATGGGGGCGGCGCTGAGCCCCGGCGGCATGGGCGCCATGGGAGCGCAGCCGGCGGCCTCCATGAACGGCCTGGGCCCCTACGCGGCTGCGATGAACCCGTGCATGAGCCCCATGGCGTACGCGCCGTCCAACCTGGGCCGCAGTCGGGCGGGCGGGGGCGACGCCAAGACCTTCAAGCGCAGCTACCCACACGCCAAGCCTCCCTACTCTTACATCTCGCTCATCACCATGGCCATCCAGCAGGCGCCCAGCAAGATGCTGACGCTGAGCGAGATCTACCAGTGGATCATGGACCTGTTTCCTTATTACAGACAGAACCAGCAGCGCTGGCAGAACTCCATCCGCCACTCGCTCTCCTTCAACGACTGCTTCGTCAAGGTGGCGCGCTCCCCTGACAAGCCGGGCAAGGGCTCCTACTGGACGCTGCACCCAGACTCGGGCAACATGTTTGAGAACGGTTGCTATCTGCGCCGCCAGAAGCGCTTCAAGTGCGAGAAGCAACCCGGAGCCAGCGGCGGGAGCGGGGGCGGTGGCGCCAAGGGCGGCCCCGAGAGCCGCAAGGACCCCTCGGGCGCCTCCAACCCCAGCACTGACTCGCCGCTGCACCGCGGCGTGCACGGCAAGGCCGTCCAGCTAGAGGGCGCGCCGGCGCCAGGGCCCGCCGCCAGCCCCCAGACTCTGGACCACGGCGGGGCAGCGGCTACAGGGGGCGCCTCAGAGCTCAAGACCACGGCCTCTTCTGCGGCTCCCCCCATCAGCTCCGGGCCGGGGGCGCTGGCATCTGTTCCCCCGTCCCATCCGGCGCACGGCCTGGCACCCCACGAGTCGCAGCTGCACCTGAAAGGGGACCCCCACTACTCCTTCAACCACCCTTTTTCCATCAACAACCTCATGTCCTCCTCGGAGCAGCAGCACAAGCTGGACTTCAAGGCATATGAGCAGGCGCTGCAGTACTCGCCATATGGCGCCGCGCTGCCCGCCAGCCTGCCGCTCAGCAGCGCCTCGGTGGCCACCAGGAGCCCCATCGAGCCCTCAGCCCTGGAGCCGGCCTACTACCAAGGTGTGTATTCCAGACCTGTCCTAAACACTTCCTAGCTCCAGGGACTGGGGCTTAGTCTGGCCTAGCCATGCTGGTAGCAGGAGAGAGAGAGAAAGAGAGAGAAATTCAACAGCAAACAAAACCACACTTAAGAACCGGCAACATAATAAAATCCCAACAACTATTTTTATTTCCATTTTTTTGTGTGCACAATCTTTTCCCCAGTGCAAGAGACTGTTACTTTGTTATATTAAAAAGGCATTGTGTATATTATTACAGACAACCAACCCCAACAACCTCTTTTTTTCCCAACAAAGTTTAATGATCCTCGATTGTATATATAAAATCCTCTGTCTTCCTTGCTCTTTTTTGCTTTCCTCTTTCCCCTCCAGACACATCTAGTCTGTGCAGAGCGTATTTTTTAAAAAATGGTCAAACTTGTAAAATACTTGTTTTGTGCGCCCCCTCTTCACCTATCCCCCACAAGTTTACAGGTCTGTGGCAATACTCTTAACCTAAAGAACTGAAATGGTGACGAAATGACACTAGAGGCTCTTAAAAGTACTGAAGGACAATACTCCTGTTACACAGCAAAACATGCAGATTATAAACATCAGAGCCATTTGTTTGGGTTAGGTTTTCTTTTGTTTGGAGGTTGTTTTTCTTTTTTTCAGTTTATACTTCTAATGCATTCAGATAGCAGATGTCTTCAATGAAATATATATTGTGTATGGACTTAATTATGTACATGGTCATATAATGCAGACATCCTCCACATACATAACATATAGAGGAATAGGTAGCTAATTAGACATGCCACATTTTCAAGAGTTGCCTGACCAAGAAGTTACAAAGACCACTCCTCAGTCTTGCCCTCTCCACCCACCTATGGCTTTGAGGATCATTTACTCAAAAATTGCTTTCCTCAAGAACTCTGTGCTCTTTGCTTTGCAAAGTCCCATGGTCATGTCATTCTGAGGTCACATATATAAAAGTAGCTTCTATATATGTATGCCACTTAAAGATATCGCCCCCCCCAGAGAAAAAGGGGGAGATATTATAATGTTGGCGGAGAGATATTATTGGGAGCCATATTTCAAATTTTGGTCCAGGATTCCCACATTCAATTGATTGTAGCCATTTTAATTATTGCCATCGTGTGCTTGTCTCACCCAGTGTTAATGCACTTTCCACAGTTGGACATGGTGTTAGTATAGCCAGACAGGTTTCATTATAATTCCTCTTTGCTTTCTCAATGTTCTTAATTTATTGCATGGTTTCTTCCCTTTTTTTTTCCTTTACAGCTAAAATTGTTTTAAATGATGGTTAAAAATTACAGATTAAAATGTTCATTTTTATCAATGTGATTGTAATTTAAATATGTTGATTTAAATAACAAAAATGAAAACAGATTTAAGCCGTGAAGTATGTTCTTGATCATTTGAGTTAAGGACTTTAAATAAAGCAATGTTAACAAAAAAGATTTCTGTTATTTTCCTTCATTGAATTAAATCCAAAGTGGATATTTTCTTTATTAAATGAACGTACAGCTAGATAGTAAGAAGCAGTTCAGGAAACTCAGGAGCTGGCAGACAAATTGATTAGATATTCCAAAATTATATTTTACAAGATTCTTATATTAATATGTACTTCAATTTTTTACATAAGCTTAAGCCTTCTGTGTTTTCTTTGAGTCTATATCAAATATTATTAACCTCCACTTTCCCAACATAATTTCCCTTTTTCTGAAAAGTATTCAGTTGAGAATAAAATACAGATTAAGTTGTCTTCAACAGAAAATCCTAACATCTCAGTAAGAGAAACAAAATTTAACTTATTCAGAGCATCTTTGGAAGGAATGGCAGGAGTGAAGTGAATTCATTCTGAAAGGGGAAGCATTGGACCACATCCCATAACTGTTATTTTGTATTTTAGGAAGATTTGTTTTTAAAATTATTCATTCTAGCGCTTAAATCTGAAAGTTTGACTTCTGTTGTTATGTGCCTACCTAGTCAGCCCTGACTCACAGGGACCCTGTGCACAACAGAACAGAAACTGCCTGATACTACAGTCTCTGTTGTGTTTAACCCTTGTTGCAGATACTGTTGATTCTTCTCCTTAAGGATCTTCCTCTGTTTCACAGACCTGCTACTTTACCAGACATGATGTCCTTCTCCAGGGACTGAACCTTCCTGATAATAACAGTAGGGGAGACAAAGTCTCCCCATCTGTGCTGCTAAAGAGCATTCTGGTTGTCCTTCTTCCAACCCAGATTTGACTTCTAAGAAGCTTTAAAATGCAACTTCACACCCCACAGTTGCTTGAGATCACCAAATCATTAATCTCCTTTGATAACAGGCTCACTTTCCAGTCCACCTATTTCTTTGTAAGTCTTGTTCGGATTGACATCAACAATAACAGCACCAGCTCAAGCAGAGGCTGGCCTCGCCTGAGCCCTTGTGTGTGAACTCCATTCTCTCCAGGGCTTGAACTTGGGCAGCCTTTACTTTGATCGCTCCACTACACACCATGGACAAGATAAAAAGAGCTGTGTGAGTCCCTTAATGATCGCGTAATTGCCTCCCCAGACGAGAGAGGGGGTGCCTTGTAGCACTTGAGAAAAATCCAGAAATCCCAGCCCCCTGCTCTCATTTCAGCTAATAAAGGAGGTGGAGAGAGCAATTACTGGTTCGAGTTATTTCAAAACCTAATGTGTAGACCTCAGAGGAAAGTTAAGACTGAAAACCAAAACAACCAACCCACAAAAACTACCCTGAAGACAATAACGTCTTGAATCTCAAAAGCTATTAATATGGGAAGTAAACAAATGTTGGCAAATTTTATTTCCTAGTAGAAAGGCCAGAACTGGGGCCTTGGCATTTTACCGACTACACTGAATTTAAAGGGTCTCATATGGGGGCCATTTCCCCTCTCCGAGCTATTTCTCCTTCCCTCACCCCTTGTAAAATAACATATTGGCAACATCACTAGCCCATCTTCACCCCCGCCTGGGGTAAATCGCTCCTTCTTGGCGAAGATGTTTTTGGTTTGCAGAAGAATTAGGGCCGAGGCCTCTCCGGAGACTCGCCTGGAAATCTAGAAAGATCAACTTGGGGCGATCCGCGGTGCAGGCCTCTCTCCGCCTCGCGGGTCTCCCGCGAGTTTCTGCTAGTGCAGCAGCCTCCCGGTGCGTTAAAGCGCTCGCGTGAAGAGCGCGGGGGCCGCCGGTGGCCGGGAGAGGGGGGCCCAGGAGGACCGCAAGCATCTTGAGGTGACAAGTGCAGTTAGTTCTTCATTGTTTGGTCATTTTCCCCTCCTAGTGAATAAATCTTCTGTTGAGCCCGAAACCTAAAAGTCAACAAAGGCAGCCAGGCGCCTCGTTACCGCTCCTGTGGCCTCAACGGCCTGCGCTGCTGCGGCTGCTCCCGCTGCGTAATCCTTTCCTCGGAAACCCGAACACACAAGCGCCCGGGACGCCCGGGGCCGGAGCCTCACTCGGCGCTGGAGGCGAAGCAGCCGGAACCCTCGGAGGTGCAGGGCTTTCCCGCCACCCCTCCACACGCTAATCTTCGCGTTTCTCTATTTCTTCACCTCGGATGCTCCGGCAGGCCAGTGCTGCAAAGGCGATCCTAACCATGCACCCTTGATCCAGTGGGCTCGCTTTATTTAGAAATTTCTCCCGGGGTGGGGGAGGGGTTTCCGGAGGGGGGAGGGAGCGAGGAGAGAAAACCTTTCTGAGGACCCCAGCGCCCAGCTCCCCAGGCCCTCCGAGTCCACAGAACAAACATTTAAAAGAGAAAGAAAGGGGGGGGAAATTAAAATGTTTTGATAGAGTGAATGGTGCTGCGAGGAAAGTTTCAAATGTTACTTTCGCCTTGCGTTTTGGAAGAGCTGACCTGAACTATTTAGACACCCTAAGAAAAAGAAAAAACCTAGACACAGGGTTAGGGGGAAAGTCATCAGTTCTATCGAGGAGAAATTAAACTAAGAAAGGCAGCACTGACAGCTTTCTACATAATAACTAGTACTGTGTTTAGAGCAAAGATAAAATTTAATTTTCCACTGCCTTCCCTTGATGTGTCTCGTTGCAGAACAAACGGATAAGAATTATTATGGAAGGGGAGATTAAAACAAGGAAAATCCTATTAAAGTTCTTAACTTGTGTTTTCATTGTCTTAAAGACTACTTAGGACTAGTTTCACGAAAAGTTTAAAGTTTTGTTAAAAAATATATCATTTCTTCCCTGTGGGAGTCCAGCAGATTTGTCATAACCATAATAGAGAAGAATTCCTGGAGAGATGCATTTAAAACCTTGTTTTGGCATTTTAAAAAATTGATCTCAATTTCCAGGAAAATGATGATTAAACTTCTTTGCAAAAAAAACTTCCACAATCAATACAAATTCCTTTCAATGCAAACCAATGTAGGAGACCTGTAGTCCAATTTAATTAACCTTTCTTCAAGATCAATTGGTTTTCTGTTGATTTAGCAGTAATATAGTAGAACATTTAGCTATAATGTATTTTAATGTGATATCTCTCGGTATATCAAGGAAAAAAGTCATTGTAAATGGCATCGTCTAAACTACTTCCTAGTTAACAAGTGTGTAATAATATTCAGCTTTCAAAACAAAATTTATTTAAGTGAATTACAGCAAATCAGGTGCTTTGCAACTAAATAGCAGTTATTATCAAATTGGCACAAGATAATTAAGCCCAAAAAAGGTATTCTTTTAAGCTACCTTTGATTGAATAGGTAAGTTTAGAAATACGGGTTTGGGTTAGAAATAAGGTTAAAAATAACCTTGGTAAGGTTCAAACCAAAAGAATCAGCAGTGTCAATAAGGTTTACATGAGAGTAGGAATGTTAAAATAATTAACAACTTGAAAGATTTTACCACGGTCTATGTTTAAGTATAAACTATTTAGGAGCGGATAAAGTTCTTTGAAAATTAGCCATTCATGCTAGCTTTTAATTTTTGTTTAGCATCTCCATACAGTTTACCAGAGAGTAAGTCGTCTGGTATTTTTCTTTCAACTAGTAAAGATTGGGATCGTAACGTTTCCACTGGTATTTCTGTTTTCTACTCTCTAGCTAGCTTGAATCCTTGAACTTTGGACAAGTAGGACTGCAGCCCTGATCTATATACTTTTATTTTAAAAACATCATTCTAGCAAGTCACAAGGTGGTGGGGAAATGCTCAGGAAGTTTCATTTTAGGCTGTAAAACACATACGGTTTTTTATTCTATTTTTTTTTTTTTAACTTATCAAAGGATACACTTCCAACCTCGTTTTTCTCTAATTTCCTCCTTCATCCCATTGTGGTGGTGGCTGTGACCTCGCGATAAACCAGCAGAGATCCCATGGAGACAAGCTC